AGCTCCTGTGTCCCAACCACAGACGCAGAGATTTCCCGAAGAATACTTCTCCCGTCCCTCCTGCCAGTAGTAAGTTCAAGGCCAGCTTGAATTACACAGAGAGACCTGGTCTCAAAAACAAAACAAAACAGAACAGTAGACAGATACATGAGTATTTCCCTGTCTCCCCTGCTTTCTCCTACCAGGTTGACCTCTACAGATGCCGCGCTGCACTCTGTCACTTAGCTGTGCATTCATTTCTGCTAGGCTGCTGACCTGGCTCTGCTTGTCTCAGTGATCCCTCTGGTCTCCTCTCCGCCCCCCAGAAGGACCTGCCCAAAAGCCCTGCTCCCCCCAGCCCTGCGGACCCCTCCGGCTGGAGCCCACGCTCCAACCCGACTCCGGTCCCCTCTGCCCTCCCCAGAGCCCACCAGGAGGCCCACAGACTCCCAGCTCTGCCTCTCCCTGGTTGGGCTCCTGTTTGCGCCACAGTTTCTTCATCTGTAAGGTAGGACTAGCTCTCTTCTCTCACAGGACAGAGCGTGAATACTACACAGTGTGTTCTTCACAGTGAACACTGCAAGGTGTCTTATCAACTTATGGAGCTCCCCCACAGCCCCTCCTGACACCCAGCTCCCTCCTGCCGCCATGGCAAGAGACCCCAGGCGCTCTGCCCCAAGCAGAGCCGCCCCTCAGATGCCCCCAATCTATTTTCCTTTACTATTTCACTCAGTGCCCCGCCGTGGCCCACATGACTTCCAAAATGCAGACCGATGCAGGCCGAATGCGGCTTCAGTGTTTGCACGGTCCCTGGGCCTCCCCGTGCCGTTCTAGACCCCTCCTTTGCCAGGGACCTGACCTGGCTATTGTGACCAGCGCTGCAGTGAATCCACACACTGACTGCAACTCTGCGAGGTTTCAATCCAGTGGCGCTGGATTGTGTGGTCTCCCTCCTGCCCTCCCCTCCCCTTCCCTCTCCCCCCATCTCCCCTCCCCCTTCCCCTTCCTCTCCCTCCCCCTTCTCTCTCGTCCTGCTGCTGCCTGTTGTCCTCACATGTCCTCCCTCCTCCTGATGGGCTCCTGGTTAGCATCCCTTGTGCCACCCTGCCTTCCAGAGGAGGCACATCTGGCTGGTTCTTTGCTTCCCCAGGGCTCTGTCTGCACCTAGATGTGGCACTGTGACGGTCCCTACCTTCATGAGTCCCCTGTTGTGCCCCAGCACCAACCCTGGCCCCTGGGGCTGGGCAGCTGATGGCTGTGTGTTTGAGGGTGCAGGGATCAGAGCAGGAAGGGCTCTGTCCGTCCACACATCCGAGTCCCACTGATGATGGGGGAAACTCCTGCCCTGGAAGCAAACGGGGGAAGTGGTGAAAGCTGAGTCTGAATCCCAGACCACCCGACTCCCACGGGGGCCCCAGGCCCTGAAAGACAGGGTGGCTACTAAAAGGGCCAGCACCTCCCACTCCTCTGTCCCCGCAGTCCTGAGCACAATTTCAGACGTTTTAATTTTTCTTTTATCATAGAGAAGATTCATTCAGCCTTCAACTGGGTATTTTAGAATCCCAACATCAGAATGAAATATCCGTTGTCAGATTCTTTGAACAATTATGTCTTCCGAGTTTTTGTGTTAACATCTGAAAAGGAGTTCATTTCTCATTTCAAATCAACTTCATATTCTGGGGTGAAGCAAACATCCATCCGACTTCAACATTTTGGAAAAGTTGTCATTTTGTTAAAATACTCTCCCTAGGCTTGATCTAAATGTGCGTGGACTACTCTTTAGTGTATTTATAAACAGGGAACTCAGTTCCTGAAATTAAAGTTTTTTACTTGAAAAAAAAAAAAAAAAAAGACAAAGTTTGCCAAATTCAGGGCAGATACAGGGGTCCAGCTGTCCTGCGTCCTTGGCTGTCACTGCTGGCCACACCCAGCCTCCTCACTGGGAAAATGAGAGTGGAGAATATCTCTGCCAAGGTCCTGGGTCCTGTCATGCAGAAATCTGTGACCTCCGTGGGTGTGGGTGTGCGGCTTCTGGGGCACAGCTGGCCTGGGGGTTCGTCGTGGCCTGGGAACCTCATTGGCTGGGGCCACGGCTGACTCAGGCTGGGGCAGGGCAGGGCTGGTGACACCCGGACAGCGGGCCCTGCTGGAGCCGTACATCTGGGCTCCAGCCCCGTGCAGCGTGCAGCCTTGACTGGAGCAGACGGTCATCCTTCCCCGGCCCCTCCGCAGCCGATCCCTTTCCTGGCCCTTCCTGCCATGGGCTTCTTGGAGAAGCAGGGCAGCTGGAGCCTGTCCTTCGCTGGCTCTGGCTACCTGGGTCTCTACCATGTGGGGGTGATCCACTGCCTGAGCAGGCACGCCCCACACCTCATCCAGGGTGCCGACCGTTTCTACGGCTCCTCAGCAGGCGCCCTCGGCGCCATCAGCATCATCTCCAGCAAGTCTGTGGGTGCGTCCTAGACTGGGGGAAGGGAGGCCCCCCAACTTGGGGACACCCCAAGGAGGCATATTCTTGGGGAGCACAGGTAGCCCTGCCTGGCTGTGTCCTGAGGTCTTCACACCCAGTGCGTCCCATCCCAGTGCGTGTCTCACCTGGGGACCGTGGTTACCCCATTTGCAAAGCAGGAAGCCTAAGCTCAGGTCACTTGGGGGTGCATGGCTGAATTCCGGTGCAGCGGGGAAATTCTGAGGAGCAGAGGGAAAGACCCTCTACTCCACCCCCACTGCCCAAAGCTCGGGTGCCCTGTGTCCCTGGGCTAAGGCCTCTCCTCCTCGGCCCGCCCTGCAGACTTCTGCTGCTCCAGCGTCATGGCCATGGTGAAGCACGTGGAGGGGCTGAGCCTAGGCATCTTCCACCCGGCCTACGCGCCTATCGAGTACATCAGGCAGCGGCTGCGAGACACCCTGCCCGAGGACTGTCACATCCTGGCCTCCCAGCGGCTGGGCATCTCCTTGACCCACTGGCCCGATGGCCACAACGTCATAGTCACCGACTTTGCCACCAAAGAGGAGCTCATCCAGGTAGATGGCACTGGGACCCAGATCCTGGGTGGCCAGGGGGTGGGGACTCTCCCTGGGGCTGAAGGGGTTTATGCGTGCTTCCCAGGGGCAGGCGCGCTGAGGGAGCCAGCAGGTGTGTGCGGAGAGGGCCAGGCGCCCAGAGGAGGGCAAGGGGAGTGTGCTCGCTTCAGACACACCCTTGGCTATGCAAGGGAGGGGGCTCCTCTTCCCACAGGGTGCTTGCGCAGCCCCCGCCTGCCCCCTCCTCTGGGTGCTTTTTGAGCCAGCAGATTTTTTCTGAGCACCTGTTACAGGCAGGGTGCCCAGGGAAAGCGACAGGCGGGAGTTCTGCCTCCTTAGGATTTGCATCTCAAGTCGCGGGGCTCAGATACGGAGCACATCCCCGGGAACAGAGTGGACCCGGGGGCTGGCGGGAGTCCGTGGCAGGCGGGTGAGGGAGAGGGAGATGTAGTACCTCTGTTTGTATGTGGGGGCCAGGGGGGCATCAGCAGAGAGGAGAGGGTGAGGCGGGAGTCCTTACTGAAACACTGCTCCAGTGTGACAACCCCGTGGGTCCCTTGTCCACACCTGACACCAGGGTCAGTGCCCCTGAGTGGGGGAGCAGGTGTGGAATCATGGGTAAAAGAATGTCGGTCCCCCGTCACTGTCTCCCCAGGCTACGATTTGCACCTTATTCTTACCCTTGTACTGTGGAACGATCCCTCCGGAGTTCAGAGGGGAGGTGAGTGCAGCCTGGGGCACAGCTGGCCTGGGAGATGTCCACCCCCTCCCTGTGCTTGGTGTGCGGAAGGTCCGAGGTGGGAGGCTGTGGCTGGGGGAGGCCCCATTCCCTGGCCACCTGCTGAGTCTGGGCCCTCTCGGCCTGCCCAGGCTGTAGCGGGCGGGCGGGGGCCACGGCTGGGCTCATCCTTGTGAATGGGGAGGGCATGGGCACCCTGCAAGATCCGTCCAGCCCACTGTCCCCCTGAATTGTAGCGCTACATGGACGGAGCACTGAGTAACAGCATGCCCTTCGCGAGCTCGCCCTCCACCATCACCATCTCGCCCTACCATGGGACCGGGGACATCTGCCCCCAGAGCCCCTCGGCCAGCCTGCACGAGCTGAATGCCTTCCACGCTTCCTTCCAGATCTGTACCTCCAACTTCTACCTCGGCTGGATGTCCCTCTTCCCTCCCAAACCCGAGGTAGGTCTGGCCCTCCCAAGGCAGAGGTGCGGCCAGGGCTCAGGGCCCCGCCCCACAGCCTCAGCGGGCCCCGGACACACGCCCTTGTTGCATACTTAGCCTGGGCATCCGAAGCCGGGGGCCCGAGCTGTAATCTTGCTGTCCCTTCCAGCCCTCCTGAGTATCTAGTGGGGCCTGGCCCCCACCTCAAGGTTCGCTGGAGCTGGAGCCAGGCCTTGGCCTGTACCAGCCACCCTGCCAGCTCTGTGAGCAGGTCCTGGGCACCTCCACCTCTCAGAGGACCGAGCGCTCAGGGAGATTAGTGGTCTTGTTCAAAGCCGCACAGCCGGGAGCAGCAAAGCCAGGACTGAGACCCTGCTCTTGGCCGCTGTCCTAGACCGTGGCCAAACTGGCCATCGGTTGGGGAGGGGCAAGCACACAAAGAAACGGACAAAAAGCCCGCATTTCCTGAGCTTTGCCCTTGGAGTTTCTGGGAGGTGATGTTTGACCACAAACCCTTCATAGGTGCAGCGCGGTCCTCCTCCCCAGAACGCTGCTCCGGCCGCAGCCCTTTCCTGTGGGCCTAGTGCTTTCTGATTTGTGCGCGAGGCCGTTTTCCTGTGCTGTGGCCCTCCCCGTACTCTGGGTGGACAGACTCTCAAGAGGGGAGACAGAGGCCCTCAGAGTGTGGCTGGGCTTCTCCCGGCGGCCTGGCTCCTGGTCCCCGGCCTGTCTCCACGCGTTCTGGACATGCACACCAAAGGGGCGGAGAGGGCCACCACTCCGCGACCACACGAGCCGGGTGAAGGTGCCACTGCCCCGGCAGGGCCTGGTTACCCTGTAACACAGGGACCGGAACTGGAAAGCCGGAAGCCGGGAGCCTGCAGGGGGTGGGGTCCACGGGTCTGGGGCATCTGCAGTGTTGCTGAGAAGTCGCCAGGTGGGTGGGCAGAACTGGGCCCTGTCGGGCTAAAGACAAACCTTGGCCTGTGATCTCCTGCCCTGTGTGTCATCAGGTGGTGGCTGACATCTCCAGACAGGGCTACCTGGACGCCCACAGGTTCCTGGAGCAACGCGGTAGGTGTCGGGGATGGAGTCCCACGGGAGCACCAGGTGGCCCCCGCCCCAAGGCGTTTGAGCCGCCAGGGCCCAGGCCACTTACTCCCCACTTGGCATCTGCTGAATACTTGGCCCGAGCCGGACGCTGGAGACCTGAGAGGAGCCACACATAGGTCTCACACTGCAGCCGCCGGAAGCCTGGTTGGAGGGACAGGGTCGGGCCCCAAGAGTCGCCCTAGGGAGAGGGGTGCAGTGACGGGGACGACCTGTACTGTGGCAGCCCAGGGAAAGCATTCGGCTTGGCCTGGGTGGAGATGGTGAGCCAGGGGGCAGAGGCAGGGGTAAGAGCCTTCTCGGCAGAGCGGGGCAGAGGTTGCAGCCCGCAGGGCACCGAACTGGGTTGGCTGGAGGCCCCCGGGCAGCCCACTTCACAGGAGGAGCCTCGCTGGGCACAGTTCATCCCCAGTGCCCCGGCCAGCTGGCACAAGCATTACCTCTTTCTCAACTTGAGCTCTCAGAACAGTGCTGAACAACAGGTCCAGTTGCCCTTCTCGCTGAGAAGTAAACTGAGGCAGGGAGGGGTTAGGCCACACAGCCGGCAGGTGGGAGGTGGGTGCTGACGCTGGGTGTGGGCTCTGATGACCTTCAGGGAGCGGCAGAGAGAGTAGGAGGAGGGCAGGAAGGGCTTGTTCCAGGAGAGCCCTGGAGCCACTGGGCCGGGCTGGGCGCCAAGGTGGGCGGGTGGCGCCGAGAGCCGGGTCAGTCTCCCCCACCTCATCGTGTCCTCTCCTCACCACGGCCCAGGACTCATCAAGGAACTGGTGCTGTGGACGCTGGTATCCAAGGAGCGGCCGGCCCCAGCCAAGGGCGGCGACGGGGAATTCAACTGGGATGTGCCCCACCTGCGGGTGAAGGACGTGCCCGACTTCGAGCGGGTCGCACCTGAGCTGGAGGCTGGTACGGCCCCTTCCCATGCTCACACTGGCAGGGCCCGGGCCGGGCACCCTGCTCCGAGGGCACAGTGCTCATCTGCTGAGCACCTGCTGAGCGCTGACTGTGTACAGGGCTGTTCCCTGCTGTGGTACTGGAACTGAACTGTGGTACTGGGCCTTTGCACTGAGCTACATGCCCAGACATTTTTATTTAGTTATTATTTTGAGACAGGGTCTCGATGAATTGCCCAGGCTGGGCTTGAATGTAGGATCCTTCTGCCTCAGCCGCCCACAGTGCAGGGATTACAGGTATACACCATCGTGTCCGGCCTGCAGGGGCTTTTTACACACGGCGTCCCTCAGGCCTCACAATTGCCCCGCCCATATGACTGCCTGTGAGATTTGAACCCAAGTCTGTACCTGAGAAAGCCGAGTCTCTGTCCACGGCCCAGGACTCTGCAGGAGGTGCCTAGAGACACAAGACAGAGACACATGCCGGGTTCTGGACCTCCAGAGGGAGCCGGGCTCCTGAGAGCAAGAGCTGGAGGATGGGACAGAATTGTTTCCAGGGCAGAGGAGGCAACTGTAGCACAGAAGAGTTGAGCAACTTGCCCAAGGGTGCACAGCTAGCAAATGACCCAACTAAGTTCTGCTCTGAAGCCTTTATCCTGCTGTCCTGCTAGGTGACCAGGTGTCACAATTGTAATGGTTGGAAAGCACTGAGGTGCATAGGCAATGGGGTGAGGCAAGCTAGAGAGGTGTCTAAGAGAAACTGGAGAAGCGGTGCTGGCCAGGCAGAGTTGGGCAAGGGCCTGGCATGTGCAAAGGTCCTGGGGCTAGGGTGGGGGTGTCTGTGTGGCTACAGCAGAGGGCTCCAAGGGCACTGCAGAGATGAGTTTGCGGGGAGGTGGGCACGTATCCTGTGTGTCCCTGTACAGCCGAGGGACAGGCAGAGGTCAGAGGGGATCAGCGATGTGGAGGCCAGAGGCAGGGAGGAGAGTGGAGGCAGTCAAGGCCAGCAGGGACAGAAGGGCTAGGCAGGGGCGTGGGTGGGGGGTGAGGTGCGGGGAGAAAGAATGGCCTTGGTGCATGCTGAGCCCTAGGGGCGGAGCTCAGGGCTGGGAGCTCCAGCGGGACCCTGAGAGCTGCCTGGCTGAGTGGGGATGGTCTGTCCTGGCCCTCAGCCTCCCCTCCCTGCCCAGGAGGAAGGCAGTGCCTGTCCCCAGGTGTTCAGAGCAGGGACAGACCCACCCTAGGCCAGGTTGGGTGTGTCATCTCCGGACGGCACTGGGGCCAGGACCTGGGGTGGCTTCAGCTCACTGGGGCCAGAGGAGTGGTCATTCGCAAGGACTGGAGTGACGTGCTGTGCTCCTCCCTGGAGCTTCCTGTCCCTGAGACGCGGGGGTGGAGGGCAGCGTGGGAGCGTGGCCGGCCTGGGCTGTCACTTCCTTGCACAAGTCAAGTCTCGTCCTGGTCTGCTCTGACCTTGGTCTCCCCACCCGCGGCGAGGCGCACAGGGATGGGCTCGGCCCGCGGCACCTCGTGCTCTGCAGAAGGTGGGGGTATAGGGCACAGTCTGGGGACCTGGCAGGATACAGGGGGGTGTGGAGGGCTGTTGGGGGCATTGCTGGCCCCTGGGGACCATGTGGCACTGTCCCTGCAGCGTTGAAGAAGGCGTGTCAGAGGGACTCCGGCGCCTGGGCGCGCTTCCGCCACTCAGGGCCTGGGTGGGCGCTGACCTACCTGCTGCTGCCCTGGTCACTGCCTTTCGAGTACATCTACTACCGGAGCCGGAGGTGGGTCTCGGGCAGGGAGGGTGGTGGGGGTAAGGGGAGGCACAGGGGACTGATGGGTGGCACCCTGGAGCCTGCCCCATCTCTGGGACCTGTGGCCATTGCCCCACTGCCAGGGCCTTAGTGACTGGCCTGGTCTGTCCCCCCCAGACCAGCTGAGGTCAGGCAGGCAGTAAGGACCCACTTCCACTTCCTGGCCTTGTGGAGCTCGAAGCCCACTGACCCTCACATGGCTCTTCTGGAGACACAGGGCAGGGTCCACGTGGGCTCCCAGCTGGCCCAGCTCACAATAGCGGCTATTTGGCCAGGGAGGGTTGCCCATACAAGATGACTCTGGAGCAATCATCAGAATGATGGTGACAATCCCATAGGCAAAGGGGAAGGCAAAGGCATCACAGGTAGCTGGGACAGCAGGTGCAAAGGGCCTGAGACAGAAGGGAGTAAGTTGTATTTAAGAAGCAGAAGGGGAGGCCAGTATGGCTGGAACAAATACGTGGCAAAGTGCACACAATGGGCAGGGGTGGCTGCAAGATATACAGGACTCTGAGGCTAGATGCATGAGCTCTTTATCCTCAGAGGGGCAGTGAGAGACGGAAGGGTTAAGCAGGGAGCCATCATGGGGAGACACATATTTTAAAAACTCTCTATTCCCCAGAAAAAGGTCTATGACCTTGAGCTACCAGTCCCTGTCCTGCTCCACGCTGAGTTAATGCTAGGTCAGCCCAGCTGCTTAGATTGTCAGTGGCTCAGCCACTCTGGAAGGCTGAGGCAGGAGAATCACAGGATCAAGCTTTAACTTACAGACTTTGTGAGAACCTTTCTCAAAATAAAAAAAAAAAAAATTAAAAAGTAGGCTAGGTATGTAGCTCAATGTGCAAGTCCTGGGTTCAATCCTCTGTTTCAAAATAAAAAGAGGAAAGTCTACCCTTTTTCAGCTTAAAAAAAAAAATCCATGTGTAAGCCCTGCTGTGGAATCTGCCCAGAACACAGGGAAGTCCTTGGTGTTGTCTGTAACCACACGTTCAGTGCATAGGCTGCATCAATAGAGGCAGAAGGCTTAGAACCGGGAGGGGATGGTCCAGCTTTGTCTTGCTTGGTCTCCCGAACTGGCTGCCCGGATTGAGCCCCAGTTTGGGGTCCCTCACAGGCCGTGTGGCACAGATGAGGTGATAGAGTCCAGTGAGTCTGAGAAGGGGCCCAGCCAGCACTTTCTCAGCAGGGGTCCAGCCGAGCTGTGATAGCAGCAGGACCCTGCAGGAGCAGGAGCTTTTGAGCAGGAGAGGACAGCAGTCTGCGCAGGCTGGGGGCGGTCCCCGCTTCTGAGAGGAGAAAGGACAGAGGATGAGGGAGGGGTGAGGAGGCAGGAGGGGGTTGGGGACTGCTGTCCTCATTTGACAGGCAAGAAAACTGAGGCCCAGGGAAGCTCCCGGCCCTTCCAGGTCCCCACGCCTTGCCCTGTCCAGCCTAAGCTTCACCTGTGACTGGCCGATGCCTCTAGGGCTGGCCACCTCCCCCAAGCTCAAAGTCCACCACGGACCAAGCCAGGCGTGGTGGGGCACACCTGCAAGCCCAGAGCTCGGGAGGCTGAGGCGGGAGGATTGCTGCAAGGTCAAGGCCACCCTGGGCTACATAGTAAGTCTGAGGCCAGCCTGGACTACATAGCAAGACCCTGTCTTTTAAAAAAGTCCATTATGAAAGGCTTCCCCTGAGAGATGCCCTGAGGCTCTGCCCTGAGCAGCCCTGCCCCCGTCTCTGGGCCCAGGTGTACCCAGTGCCTTGGCTCCAGCCAGGATGGGCCCCCCTAGCCCGGCTCGCCCACCGGAGCTGATGCTTTGCCCCCTCCAGGCTGGCCCTGTGGCTACCCGAGGCGCCGACCGACCTGCGGTGGGTGTGGGGCCTGATGAAGGGCACAGCGAATGGGGTCTTCTGCAGGATGAAGGCTGGGCTCAGGTGAGGGGCAGGAGCTCGGGAGGGGAGGGGCCGGGCGTGTCCCGAGGGTCCCGCCCCCGCATCCCTCCTGGAAGTTGACAGGTCCTTGCTGTTCTCCCGGATGTTCCTGGGGGACCTCACAAGGCTGGCCTGCCTGGCTCTCCTCCACCCCCACCTGCCTTCCCTACTCTCTGTGGCACCTGGGCCACCCAGATGCAGCCGGGTCCCTCTTCAGGGGAGAGGGACTGGGGCGGCGTGGACCTGAACGCAAGGTACATTTGCCTTCCTTCCCTTCCACAGCCTGCCAGCCGCCAGCGCCAGGGACACAGGCTCCCACCAGCCCAGGGCTGCGGGCACAGAGCTCCGGTCCGCCCATCCAGCCTGCAGGGGACCCGGGAGCAGTCTCCCCTGATGCCGGTTCCTTCCTGTGTCCTGCACACCCGCGTTTTCCCCAGGCTGGGGTGACCTGGGACTCTCCCCAGCCCTTGGCCCAAGGAGGGGGTGGGAGTGCTGGTCAGATGTGGGTGACTTCCCTCCCCTCTCCAGGCCTCTTCCCAGAAGGTGACATTAACTGATGGCTCCCTAGCAGGAAAAGACCCCTGCTCCCCGGAGCCCACACCCTAGACCTGGGCGCTTCTGTTTCGGAAGAGGCCTGACCAGGCTGTACCCGCAGGGAGCCGTGCCCTCCTTCCTGCCTGTCTCCCCTGAGGAGAAAGGACGGCAGGAGCTGGGGTGCACCACGTGGGCCCTTGGAGCAGCGCTTGGTGCACACGAGGCCCTGTGAACTGTCACGAGCTATCTGCAGAGCTCAGTAGGGATGCTGGGTCCAGGCCCAGACGTCCAGATCTGGGGAAAACTGGAATGGTGGGGGTCGGGTGTGGTGTTCCCCATGCCCTTCACCTTTCTGTCCTGCACTGGCCTTGGAGGTGACCCCCGTGGCCTCTGACTGCCCGTGGGGCCCTTGGGGTGGGGGACCCTGCAGGCAACAGGATGGAGGAGGAGGAGGAGGAAGAGGAGGAAGGGTTCCCGCTGCAGGCTCCTTCGGTGCGGTCTCCACCTTCCCATCCACTCTTGGTCAGGTGCAGAGGAAGCTGTGGACACCAGGCCTCCTCTGGCCTCTCCCTGGGGCCATTGCTCTTTCTGTCCTCGGAAAAGAACCCACACTGTGTCCCAGACAGGCTTTCAGGAATGCTCACCCCCCAGCGGGTGGGGAGCATGAGACACAGAGGTGCAAGCAAGAGAAGAGGGGACAAAGGAATAAATGTGTGTGAGGGAAAGGGGGTGCCATTCATTCATTCACTCATTCATTTATTCATTCATGTGGCTTACAAATGTGATGATTCTGGCCTGTCAGAGACATGGCTATGAGCAGTACGTAGCAGAGTACAAGGATGATCAAAAATATGGTGTGTAAAAATTATGGTGTATGTTCAAATGTTAAAAAAAAATGATGATGGTAAAAGACACATGTTATGAATCGCTCTCAAAATAGTCTGCCTTGCTTCCAGCACACTCATCGCATTGTTCTTGCCACTTTCTGCAGCAGTTCTGGAAGTCCTCTTTCCCAAGTGTCTTTACCAGGTGTGGTAAGAAAAAATATGCCAAAGGCTGCTGCTGAGCGCCATCCAATGGAAAGGCAGCTCAGAAAAACATGACACCATGTCCACACCCACCTGATTCACCAGATATGGCACCCTGTGACTGCTGGCTCTTCCCCAAAGTCAAAATGACCGAGGTCAATATTTTGAAGCCATTCAGGACATGAGGCAACCAGGACAGTGCAACTAAAGACCCTTGGGAGAGAGCACTCCAGAGCTGCTGCAGAAGGCGGCCAGGACGATGGGATGAGTGTGTCCGAAGTGAGGGGACGGCTTTAGGGGATTGCAGCAATGTCTTTTATTGTAATAAAAATTTTTAAAACTGAAAGCATTCATTGTATTTTTTGCTCGCCCTGTGTATAAGTGGAGGCGCCTCCCAGGAGTGGCCATGCTATGGAGGAGACCGGGTGAGAGCAACAGTGGTTTGGGGTCCAAGCTGCAGGTGTGGCACTTGGGAAGTTCTCTTTGAGAACCCTGATGGAAGGCAGTGTTGCAGCAGAGGGAGCAGAAGGAGCAAAGGCCCCACAACAAGACCAAAGCTGGTGTGTTGGTTCCCATGTGGCTGGGGTGCACTGCAAGCCACAAGGCAGGCATGGCCAGCTGGTCACAGGTAGAGTCTGGGGCAGGCAGGACAGCCCAGGGGTGAATGGAGAGTGAATGGGGACAGGAGCTAGAGCTGGTCATTACTTTCTAATAAATTTATTGGGAATATGTTTTCAAAAAGATTTTCTGGCCAGGCATGGTGGCACACACCTGGAATCCCAGCACTCGGGAGGCTGAGGCAGGAGGATTGTTAAGAGTTCAAGACCAGCCTGGGCTACAAAGTGAGCTCAAGGCCAACCTGAACTGCACAGTGAGACCCTGTATCCAAAAAGACAAAAAAAAAATTTTTTTTTTCCTGTTTTTTGTCTTTTTGAGACAGGGTCTCACTGTGCAGTTCAGGCTGGCCTTGAACTCAATGTGTAGCCCAGGCTGGCCTCAAAATCACAGCGATCCTCCTGCTTCAGCCTCCCGAGTGCTGGGATTCCAGGTGAGCACCACCATGCCTAGCTCAAAGAGTTCTTGTCTCTTGGAGATCCGTACTGAAGTATTAGCGAAGGAAATTATATGACGCATAGAACTTATATGAAGCATAGAACTTGCTTCCAAATAATCTGAAGGTAGGCGTGGACGGGAGCTGCCGCGTTGTACGTTGGTAGCGGCTGACACCGGAAGACGGCACATAGATGTTCATTACACCGTTCTCTAGTTTTGCATATGTTAGATATTTCCTTGGCCAACACATATTTAACTTTACAGATGTAATATTACACACAAGCAGGGAAATATACTTCTCTTTAGGACGTAAAGCCAAACCAGACATGAAGCCAAACCACGGTCCTCCAGAGGCGCGCTTAACAGCGTGGCAGGCGGAAGGCGCTGGGAGTGGCCAGCTTTCAGCACCACGGACAGCGACCCGCGTTGCCGCGGACTCGGCGGCCAGGGGACCTCAGAAGGGCTGGCGGGTTGGGCTCTCTAAAATCTTCTCACACACCTCCAGGGACAGGTGGTCAGTACTCAAAGGCAGCCCAGGTCTTGCTGGACATCTTTGAACTACAAGAGGCTATTGTGTGTGTGTGGTACTGAAGGATTGATTGAACCAGCAGGGCTCTACCACTGAGCTACCTTGCCAGATCCTCTCCTTTCTTAAACAAAACAAAAAAACCTCTTGAGACAAAGTCTTGCTAAGTTTCCTTGTGACTGCTTGAACTTGTGATCCTCCTGCCCCAGCCTTCCTGTGCTAGGATGACAGGCGTGCACCACTGCACCTGGCTTGCTGTGTGCTGTTAAAGGGCATCTTTTTTTTTTTTTTAAATTGACCCTATGTGCTTGTCTCCATTTCTGAGATGTCTATTCTGTTCTATTGATGTGCGCATCTATATTTATGCCAATTCCACACAGCCTTCAATTACAGCTGGTTTTTTAGTAAGTTTTGAAATCAGGTGCAGTGAGTCCTCCAACTTTATCTATTTTACAGAAAAACTCCAAGTTCTTAGCTTTTCTGTACAACTGTTAGAACCATCCTGTCAATTTCTACAGAAGAGCCCAGGAGGCTTTGCTTGGGATCACACTGCTTCTGTAAATTTGAGGGGAGTTGGTATCCTAGGACCTGAGACATCACTCCATTTCTTTACTTTTTCTTTAATTTTTCTGGTCGACATTTTATAGTTTTTGGTACAAAAACCTTGTACATATTTTCTTAGATTTATTCTAAGTATTTAATATTCTGATGCTATTGCAAACATGTTCAGATTTTAAATTTCCAGTTGTTTGTTGCTAGTATGTAGAAATAGAGGTATGTTTTTTGGTCGGTCTTATCTGGTCTGACCTTGCTAAAGACACTTGCTAGCTGCAGTTGTCTTTTTGCAGATTCTTAGGGATTTTCTATGTTAATGGAGCTCTTTTCTACTTACCTTTTCTTTTTAAATTTTTATTAGAATTTTTATTTTAGGTTTTTATTGTGAGAAAAGTAAAGAACTGCCACTGAAACTGCCACTTTAATGCATGAAGTTTCCCCTCTTCTTCCATAGTTTCTACCTCAATCTGTCATGGTGGTTTTTATTTGCTGTTATGTCCCTCTTTTGAACCCTGGGGTGCTTGTTGGGTAAGTGCAGGCCCTCAGAGGACCCGGGCGCCCCATGACTCCACACACAGCCCACCAGCTGCCAGTTTCCTCTTCCTGTTGGCCACAGAATCACATCTGGTTTGGGGAACAGAAAACTAAGCCAAGAAATTCCTCTTCCCATGGGTCCACTGTGCTGAGGGTACTGCAACCCCCACACCTGGATGCACAAGGGCCTGGATTGGTGTGAGAGAGGCTCCACTCTCACTCACTCATGAGGTGTGCTCTATCTCCTGTCAGGCCCCGCTCTTAGACGCCCTGGGATGAGTATCGAACAGGTCCTCTCGCAGGCTGTGCCCAGACCCCTTTAGTCACAGGGTAAGGGGAAGGACAGAGACTCCCACAGCTGTGGGGAGACAAGAGCTTGCTCTGGAAGCTGGAAGGTGGGGCTGGCCCCTTGCCAAGACCTCAAGTGTGCAATGCAAGACTCACTATTCCACTCACAAAATGCAAATTCAAAGACGAATGTATCATGACTGCAGAGCACTGACCCCGTTTGGGGCCCCTATACCTGCCCCCAGTTAACACTATTACGCTTTCTCTCACTACAGATGGGTTTTGCTGATCCCTGAGCTGTGGATAAACGTCACCTTTTGTGTTTCACTTACTTGTTCATCACTCTGCTAAGATTCACCTACACTGTTGCATACATCAACTAGATTTTTATGGGGTGTGTAAATACCGTGTCCCACTTCGTGAATATTCTGCACCACAATTTATACATTCTACCATCATGGCTATTCAATTGTTTCCAATGTCTCCACTCCAATTGTTTCCAATTCTGTCCAATACGCTCAAATTGTTCCTCACCTGGCCTGAGGGGACTCTCCAATTATGTCCTGTGTCCTTCTGACCCCATCTTTTTTTTTTTTTAAGCACTTTTTCTCTTTGGGTTCAATAAGATGTTTTAGGTTCATCTTATACTTTTCTTGTCCTGCCCTGAAATTGGTCTTTCTTACAAGAACTCTTGGTTCCCTTGGGTGGGGGAAGTATTTAGAAACAAGAGTCTGGGCACTGGCACTATCACTGTCTAGAGACTTGATAGAGCAAAGGTAAGAAATATAAAGCAAAGGTAAGAAATGGGTGTTTTTTAAAATAATGAATTCATGTCAATGCCTCCAGTTCAGATCCAGTACTATGGGTTCTTCTTTTTCTCCTTCCATTCCTAACTTTTATATTCCTCCTTTCATGGGAGGACCCCCCACCAAGAACGCACATATATACTTTCATTTGTGTAGATCCTCTCCAGCCTTTGACTAGATAGCTTTTTGTCATTATCTTAACGTCTGCATGCTTGTCCTTGACGGACGGTCACAAGCTTCCTAGTCAGGATTAATCGCTGTTTTCTCCCTGCCCGCTGGGCATACATGGCTTCACGCCTCTCTACCAGAATAAGTGTTGAACGTCTGATCTCGGTGGCGTCCTGGATGTGAACTCCTTCCATCCCCCCAGGAACAGCACTGGGAGACAGGGATTGTATTCCTTCTCATGGCTCAGGCCACTAAGCGACAAACCTCAAACCGAGACTGTATTGTTCGTTTGGTTTTTTTTGAGACAGGGTCTTGTTATGTAGTTGAGGCTGGCCTCGAACTCATGGCAAGCCTCCTGCCTCAGCCTCCCGAGTGCTAGGATTGTTGGGATTACAGCGTGAGCCACGTACTCTGGGCCACGACTGTATGGTTTCCATCTTGGAGTCCTCCCGGGGTGGTAGTGTGACTGAGTGACCTAACAACAGGCTTTACTAAACTCTTTTTAGAATTTGGTTGTTCCCAAGTTGTATTCTGCATACCAAGCGTCTTATTCATACAGCTGTCCGCATGCTGCTCTGACACGCATTCTCTGTGGTTCTGGGGCTGACGCTGGAACCTGTATTTCAAGCCCCCTTCTGCTCCCGGGTCACTATGAAGCTCGTTCTTTCACAGCACCTGTCACGTTCTGAAATTATCTCGGCGATCTGCAAGTGCAGGTCCAGGAGGGCCAGGCTTTGGGCTCCTCCTTCTCGGGGAGCCCCGGGAACCTGGAGCGGCGCGGGGTGCAGCCAGGTGCGCCCTCCATACCTGCAGCGCGCTGGAGCC